GGCTGGCATATTGCGTGTTGAGAGTTGTGGTTTGGAAGAAGCTTTGGAGTTCTAGGTGCGGCAAGCTGAGTTGAAACTGTGCCAGGTGAGCATGCACGTGAGGCCTGGCGGGTGAGCTGCGGGCCAAGCTGACCAGACGATGATGTCAGATGCTTCGTAGGTGGAGCAGCTCACTCAGAAGCGGCCACGCTTGGAGGCCGGCCACTCATCCAAGTGGAGTTGCTTCATGTTTCTCCTGTATCCACTCGGCAATGGCGGGGGTCCTCAGTGCGATGTCTTCCGGCGGGCGCGCAGAGGCCAGGCCAGACGCAGACACAAAGTACCCGAATCGTCGAGGACTGGCATCCCGTGTCTGTTTCGCAAAAAATATCTTGTCCCAAGATTTGTTTGCCGACGACTCCTTCAAACGACAACGCCCTTGCCGATGTTGTCGGAGGTCTGTTGCCAAATGTCACAGGAGATGCTGGATCGGCAATGTCGTTGGCTTCCGAGCTGGCAGAGAAGATCTCGGCTGAGGCATGCAGAATCAGATTGTTCGGCTCGTGGCGTCTCTGGTGTTGCCTGCTTCTTTGCGAAATTCGGACGCATAATGAATCAGGGCTTTTCCATGCAGCGGCAAGCGGTGCAAGGCTGCATGCTGTTGCAGTTTTGCAGCCTGTTGCTGGATTTTGCTTAGGCGTACTATGACCCCTTGTATGAAAGTCAGTTTGGGAACATTGCAACCGCTTCGTGCTCGCCGCAGGGTGCGCATTTGCTTATTTCGGTTCCTTCGCTCTCTGTGTATGCGGCGGCTGGCGTGCAGAATCAACTTCACAATAGTGTGCCGGCTAAAAGTTGTTTTTCTGGTTCTCCAGCCGAAGGAGCGCATGGAGGCCTTGCTGGCAGCATCCCATCGGGACTCAGCAGGCTCGTGCTTTGCCTTGATTTGCTGCGAGGCCGACCGGCCTGTGAAGTTTCCTGCGGTCGCAAGGGTTCATCCAGCTTCTTCTTCACGGGAGCTTTGCTTGGGGACTGCCCACGCCAAAGTTTGGAAACATCCTTTTGCATAGACCATCGTGGCGTGGGAAGCGGCGGAAGGCGAAGCAGCAGTCCGCGTGCCAGCACAGCCCACCTTGGGCTCTGGGCCTTGCAAGGCGCTGGGCTTTGCATGGCCGAGTGCACAGATGGCCGCAGCTCGCTTTTCAGGTGACAAACCTGCGGCGGTCCCCTGCTCTGCTTGCTCTTCCAGCCCCTCCTAGCCCGACGCTTTCACGTCGGAGGAGCTAGATGGATGCACTGCGTTCTTTAGCCAATTGTTGATGATGGCCACTAGGCTAGGACCCTCAAGCTTGGCATTTTGGCTTTCAACCGCTTCCCCTGATGGAGAAGGGCTGGATTTTGAATCCTCACTTCCTTCCCCCCCCCTCTCACGAAAAATGCAAGCCCCTCTCCCCCGGAGTTGTTTTCCGATTGATTTTGAGGGGGGGGAGGACAACCTGCAATCGTAAACGCTTTGCGTTGCTCGCCTCGGCCAGAATGCTTTACTTCCCTCATCACTCCCCCCGCCCCACGAAAAATGAAAGCCCCCCCCCGGAGTTTTTTTTCCCGATTGATTTTGAGGGGAGAGGGGAGGACTAAATGTAATCGTAAACGCTTCGCGTTGGCCAGAATGCTTTTGGCTGGCTTTGAGGTACTGTGTTTTGGTTTGCCTTGAAGTGCTTGTTTGAGTGAGTGAGTCGGCACCGAAATGTGCGAGCTGGTTTCCAAGATAGAGGATGGGTGTATGTTTGCGCATTTTCACATGGCTTCAAGCAACACCCCTTCAAACCTGAACCTTGTAACACTTTGGTAAGATGACAAGTTGCAGGTTCCTGTGAGAAAGATGTAATCGAACATGGTTGTTACCTGCCAAGGCAAGAAGTAAGTTGCGTGGTGGGAGTCAAAGCGGCCTCTAGGCACGAGGAGGACTCCGCAGAGGCAGCCGCCCTGGTTGCGAAGGTGGCGCGAGCTGAGGCAAGTTCTCTTCTGCGTTTAGTAAGCTTCGCGAATCGCGAATGGCCACTTTTGGGCACTGCTTCTTCCGAGAGGGGTGCTCCTGATCAACTCCAGGAAAGGCTTTGGAGGAAACAGAGAGGTTGCAATCTTGTCTCGCAGGCGGAGGCCCGGCAGAGCCGCATTCGCCAGCTGCAGCAGGACCGTGCAGGGCAAGGCTGCACTGATTCTGCAGCATCGGGGGCTGAGGAGCTGGCACGGCAGCGACAGGCCTTGTCCAAGCGCCAGAAGGAGTCATGCAATGTGTAGCCGCTGTCATGCACACCTCACGACTTGTGGTGGATGGCAGGAGTCAAGGACGCACGCTGGGGAGGATGCATCCAAAGGCTTCGCCCACTGGGCTTGTGCTTCTTGTTCTTGGATTTTCTTGGCACTTGGATGTGGCAGGAATGAGAGGCACTCAGGTATCGCGGCCACGGACGTAAATGGAATTCTGCATGGCCTGTTCCACGTTTGGCGGGCAACACTTTTCCGAAAGATGGCCGGAGTTATGCAGGGCTACAGACTAGCATGCTGCAGAGTTTTTGAATAAGCCATGTTTTTCTCGTTTCTGAAGTTAGAGGCCAGCACATAGCATGGCATAGCGCCTACCAAGTTGGGCTTCTCGTGGCAAGGGCAGTCGATACTCTACCATGTCTGCCCGAGAGTGAGAGGCATGATTTTGCGACTAGTGGGTTGGGGAGCCGAGAGGCCGCGCGGGCCAGAAGCGCGAGGGCCGCGAGCCGCACGAGGCTCCCGCCCGCGAGGCTCCACGAGCCTCGGAGGGCGAGGCAGGGAGAAGGGAGTGGGACTGGAGAGCAAAGCGGGCTCAGCCATGAAGCCTTTGTTGTGTGCGAGGTCGCCCTTTCCGAGCTACGCGAGAAGTTGAAGAAAAGCCAGGCAGCCCGCTTGGCTTTTGGCTGCATGTCGCAGCATGCCCCCAAGCAAGAAGCTTGAAATAGCGCAATGGCAGCCCTTTTGGGGGCAGAAGGGTTTAAAGTTTAAACAAGTCGTGCTCGGTCAGATGGCCAGAGCTCGCATTGCCTGGGCGCCTCAGGCTGCTCCGGGCGAGGTTGAGCGTCACGAGCCGAGCGAGGCACGCAAATGCGAGAATGCAATGCGGTGGCTGCGTGAAGCCCTCTGTGAACTCTTACTTTTGCATCATAGGCCTTCATTGCGCCGCGGCCGAAGCGACGTGCACGGGGAGACAGCGAGGCACCTGGGATGGCATGCCAAATCCCGCGAAGCTTTGGGGTTCTGATTTGTGGCGGGCCGAGTGTCGGAGTCCTGTGCCATATGGGTTTGGTGATGCTGTGGCGTTTAGTGCAGGTCAATGCGTCCAGCAAGATTGAAGGAAACACCGGCATCCAGTTGAACAGCTACAAAAGGGTACCTTGCATGGCAGCAGTTGCGCAAGTCACCGACTTGTGGCACACCAGAAGCACAGATGAAGTACCCCACATGAGCAATGATCTAAGCCAGTTGGGTTTCGCCAAGCCAAAAGGGCCCACAGCAGATTGAGGCTAAACCCCAAGCATTCAACACCCAGAAGCTTGCCTTAGATGCTGTGAGTTGTGTGGCCCATGGCGGCAGCGCTGCGTGCGCGGGCTTTCCGGGCTGCGCCACGCTGGCTGTGCCGTGGCAGGCAAGGCTATGCTGGCGACCACAGTGCCCTTCAGGGCTGAGTGTGTTGGTGGCCACCGCAGTGGCTTCATCATGTTGTATGATGGAAGGGAGCAAGGGTGATGTCCAACCCGCGGTCGCAGGACCTTGAATCAGACCCACGCAAGGGGACTATGATGAGTGTGCACATTTTCCCGCGGTATGGTGATGATTTAAATGTCTAAGGGTTTCGTTCTCGCCTTCGGTTAGATTGGTGGCTGCCTGACAGGCGGTGCTTCTCCGTGGAAGTGCAGATCTCCCAGGAGCGCAAGTTTCGGGCACCAGAAAATCGAGGGTATGCTCCAGCCAGCTCAACAACGATCTTGCTACAGTGTGACTTCATTTTTGCTGGCTAAAGCATCCTGGCTTGCAACTGTTTGGGTCGCTGTTCAGATGTCCCGGATCAAGGCTGTCCCAAACAAAAGCCCTCTGCCTTTGATGGCTTCCTGCAGGAGCGTTTGCACGAATTCCTCCAGGCTGAAGTGGTCTTCTTTGCCGGCCGCGAGCCGAAGTCCATCACACTGCGGCAGATCCTGGATGCAAAGACCCCTGAGCAGGCGGCAACGTTGGCATACCGAGCGTCTCGCCTAACATTGGCCTAACAGCGTCCCTGGTGCATTCAAGTGCTTTGATCAGATTTGCCAGACACTCAGGAGCTGCCGATTCGCTATGCCCAGCGGATTCTGCAGATTGAGGCGCTGCCTGGCTGGAAGGCTTCTCAGGAGCTGGTGGAGGCACGGTGATGGGGGTTGTGGAGAGACCATTTGCTTGTTTGGTTTGTTTGGCTCCTTACCCGCCCGGCTCTTTGTTGGTTTGCTTCTTTTTCCACCTCAGAGGGAGCACAGGTGCACCGCCTCTACTCGGAGAACTTCAAGGACATCCGCTTGGTGGAGCAACTGGTTTGCATCATCGCCGGAAGCTTCATTTCCCTTCTTAGCCAGGACACACTTAAAGCACAGTCTTTGCATCGGTCATTTGCCGTCTCTTCAGATGCCAATCACTGTACAGCTTGTTGTCCTCAGGCTGGATGTGAAAGAGCTTGAGCCGTTCACTTCTGTCATCGAGACTATCAAGGGCAGGATGAAGGAGGCCGTGAAGGGGGAGGGTACATGATTGCCGGGTTCAACATGAGAAGGTATACTGTGAAGAGGCTGGCCTGAGAAATGGCAGGAGAGTGACGGTGACTGACGTGCCATAGGTGATCCCAATGCTGGCAACTGCCATGCGGAACCTGCAGCAGACAGAGGGCTACTCCGAGGCAGCGATTGTCCAGTGGCTGGATACTTTTTTCCTGTCCCGCATCGGTACAGACGCTGGACCCGCAACAGGCGCTCGTTTTTGCCACCTTCGTGTTTCCGTGGCATATTAACAGGGAGCTCCTCGTTCCATGTTGGCACAATTGTTTTGAGAGTCTGCAGCGAGCATCGGGCACGGCCATAATGTAGAGCACTGAGACTTATGACCAGTGGCTCAGCCACTTCAGCCACTCAACTACACAACCATTGCTCACAGAGGGTTGCTTGAAACCTTCGAGCCATGCAAGTTGATGATATACCACGGCGCAACATGCCGGCGGTAGAGAGCCGAGGAGATGCTCACCTCTCAGTACATGGCCTCGGCCAAGCCCGACAAAGCAGCCAAGCGGCGCCGCCGCGTGGGCGTGGTGGACTACGCGTGCGATCCTGTGAGTATCTGCGAGCAAGCGGCCAGGCTGGGCCAACGGCTTGAAAAGGTCTCAGCCCTGGTCCTCAATGCATGAGCCTTCGCTCGACTTTGGTCATGGGCTGTCCGCAGGCACGCTCGAAAGCTGTGCAAGCAACATTTCGATGAATCTGCAGATGTGGAGATCATAGTGGAAAGCAGCATTGCCTCCACATTTGAGATTGAGAGCCTTGGCGGGAATCTGGCACCAAAGCAGAGAATCCTAGGGCCGGTTTGTTGCGATACTGGCCCTCGGCAGGCGGCCAACTTTGACAGCTGGCGGTGCATATTCTAATTGGCATTGGCTGGGCAGTGGCTTTAAGCTCGGCTCCCCTGAGGAGCCGCATCCGCTTCCCCTACGTGCCCAACTACCTCTTCTACATCATGGTTGTGCCTTGGAGCTCGCTGATTTTGAAGTTGAAGTTGATTGATATCGCTTGCTGTGCAAGTGGCTTCGGGCCAAGCCTCATGCACGCTTCGCTTCGCAGGGCGGGTTCACGCTTACGCGATACTGAGGAGCTCCTGAAGAACAGCGCCCGTGCTACTGTGGAAGCACAGCAGGAGCATAAAGCATTGTCCTTGGGGAACATGTTTTGCCAATGGGCCCTTCACATGTGACGTGCTCAATGCAATTGCTAGGAGTCGCCTGGACAGCGGCGGAGCATCGTCATAACAGTGGGTGCAGATCCAAGCGAGGCTGGGCATGGGCAGGGATTCTCTTCTTCCAAGGGAAGACTTGAAGCCCTTCAAAGCTCAAGAAGTTTGAGGTGTCCCTTGCACCCTGGATGTCTCTCAACCTTTTGCCTCGAAGGTGGCCATCCGTGTCTTGGACTCGGCCGGGGGCATCCCCTTTCACGCCGCGGACAAGGTCTGGTCCTACATGTACTCCACCGCCTCAAAGGCACCGTGGCTACCGGTTTTTGGGAACTGGCGCACCGACCAACCCAAATATCAGTCAAAGAATTCGCAGCATAGGACCATGGGATGGGGCATTGAGCAGCTGTTGCGGAAGCAATGGAAGCTTCCATGGAATGGGGCCGTGGCCGCTTTCTCAGGCAGCCCGCAACTTCGATGAGCAGGGCACCCCTTTGGCAGGCTATGGGGTGGGCCTGCCACTGAGTCGGCTGTATGCCAGATACTTGGGTGGCGCCTTGCACCTTCAGTCCCTGCCTGGTGTGGGCACTTGCGCGTATCTTTACCTGAAGCGCCTCGAGACTGAAGCGCGGGAGGAGCTGCCCACTCATGACTCTGTGAGCAGCATCAGCATCATTTAGCATGTGATGCGCCAGGGATTAAGCCAAGGGAGAAGGGAGAGTGAGAGAGTGACGGGCTGATTTGTTGTACCTGTTGCCTGTCTAGATTGGCAGGGGTTTTGAGGCAGGGAGCCAAAGGATTCAATTGAAGACAACTCCAAAACTTCCGCTTGACAAATCCCTACGCCTGCCACGCACGTGCCAGCCGCCTCTGCGGCAAGGGCTTGCAGATGAGAGCCTATCCATGGTGAATGGTGAAGCATGAAGCAGGCACAAAGATAGAACAGCCATGCAAAAAGATGGGCTGGATTCTTTGATGCAAGTTGGCTCCATGCACCAGTTGGCCTAGCCACTGCAAGTTGCGGCTGCGGAAAAAACAGCAACATGGAGTGTGGCTGGCCAGCTGTTGGTGTCACCCCGTGGCCGGCAGGCTGATTGGTGAGTTTCAGACTCGGCAACAGATCGATTATGTGGCCTGCCAAGTTCTTGCAGACATTTGAAGGCACAGTTTAGTTCGGCAGAGAAATCACATTCTGGACCCTCCTTATTTGTGCTGGCAATGGGTTGCAATGCTTGGATTGGATGCACGAAGAAGTCGTCCTCATTGCAGGCTCACACCGCAAAAGTGGTGCGCGCAGCCACTCCTTGAGAGAGAGCGATCTAATTAATTCCTGACCTTATATCAAAGCCCTAGAATTTGCTTTGAACGGGATCATTGCAACATCCATTGCAAGGCCCATTTCAAGCAGCGCCAGGTCTCTCACACATTGAGGGCATGCGTTCTCCCAGATTGGGCTGGGATGATGGCTCTTGTGATATCTTGTAATTCGCCACAGAGGATTCCCAGCGGCCAGGTCAAAGCAAGCCCGCGTGCAGAAATGAGCCCAGAGGCGGGAGCGGTGCAAAGGTTCCAAGAGCCACATGCCGGTTCATGACCGCTCTTTGTCAGAAAGCAAGAACTGCTTCACGGCCTTCCATTTGAGTGCCCTCAGCCTAAATGCAGGAACACGTCGGAAAAAACAGACCTTGATTTGGAAGCTTGTTCGCTTGCAGTGTGCATGCCCTGCCTGGAAATATGATGCTGTAGGCATCAGAGTGCTCCGAACATCCCGGTGGCTGCCAAGAAGCGACCGCCTCAGTGGGGGAGGAACCGACACCGCTCAAGAGGATCTCTCCCAGCTTGGGGCGTGGCGGCTGCATGGATAGCTTCATTTGCAATGTTGGCTGTCGCGTGTTTGACTCGTGTTTTGCCTGGTGTCCGTCCATCCGCTGGCCTGAGGACAGACCAGCCGCAAGCCCCGCATCAGAGTCGGCAGCAGCTGGGCGAGGGTCTCGCTGTTGGTTTTGGCATGTCTCGGCTCCTGTTATGTGCGCTCGTTTTCCATCAACGGCAGACCAATTTTCTTGAAGCAACCGGCGTGCCTGGGACGTGCCAGGGCAAGCGAACATTGCTGGTGATCCGAAGTTTTCCGGAGGTGTTCGAGTGAAGAGAGGGGTTCCCGGCAGGGGGGTGGTGGCCCAGTTCTGGAGGCATTAGAGTGAACCGGGCTACAGTGTTACAGTCAAGGCAAGTAGACAGTCAGCGCGATGAGCTCATGATTGGATTAATACAGTCAATACTTGGTTCTTTGTGGCCAACCTTACTCGACGGTATTTTCTAACCAGCCAAAACCTGTTTGTACCGAAGAGAGAGAGAGAGAGAGAGAGAGAGAGAGAGAGAGAGAGAGAGAGAGAGAGAGAGCCAGAGAGAGCGAGAGAGAGCGAGAGAGAGGGAGAGAGAGAGAGAACACGATCAATGAATGAATAATAGTCTGATGTGCTGTTGCAAGGAAGGCATTTGCAGATAGATATTTTGCTAGGAAAGTGCCGCGGACCCACCCAAGCGTGCTCACAAGGAGGATGCTCGGCAGAACTATTTGCGCGGTGTTGAGTGGTTGCTAGCTGCCCAAACCTTGCCGAGCTTTGAACCTGAGGCTTCTCATAACGAAGTTCGCGATGCGCCAAAGGTGAGGTGGATTTTATGCTTTGGTGTACTTTGTGTGTGCCTTTGTCAAAGAATCCGGCCGAGTCTGCGACCCTTGGATTCGCACCTTGCATGCTCGGAAGAGGCATGGGCTCCTGCCTGGTCGCCGCAGCGCGCTCGCAGCAACCTCAGGATTTACCTTTGTGCACTCTTTTGGCCTTCCATCGGGCTTCCTTCAAGCAGTGCGATTGACCCGTGCTCCCTGCGCTGAGGGCTGGACCGCGATCAGAGGGAGAGGCGGGGAGCCGTGCCCTACACTGGCGGAAAGCTGGGTGGCAACCAGGTCAAAGCGAAGGCGCGTGGCTGAGGAGGACTGCCAGCTTGGAGCCAGGGTCCTGACGATTGGAGCCTTAAGCCTGAACTGTTGAAGCACGTTTGCGGTATGGTCCCTCACATTATGCATTTACACATTGTTACGCTTAGGCGTATGATTGCACATCAAATAAACAGAAAACATATTTGCCTTGCTGCAGTTGTGGGCAAAGCAGAAATTACAGGTTTCGCTGAGCAAGTGTCTCGGCAAGTCTTTGTGCAAGTTCTGTGAGCAAGTTTCTCCGAGCAAGCTTCTCTGACAAGTTGTTCGATCTGAGCAAGTTGTCAGAGCAGGTTTCTCCGAACAAGTGCTGTGATCAAGCTTTCCTGAGCAAGTTTCTCTGAGCAACTTTCTCTGAGCAAGTTCCTCTGAGGAAGCTTCTCTGAGCAAGTTGTTAGAGCAGGTTTCTCTGAGCAATTTTCTCTGAGCAAGTTCCTCTGAGGAAGCTTCTCTGAGCAAGTTGTCAGAGCAGGTTGAGCAAGTTTCTCTGAGCAAGTTGTCAGAGCAGGTTTCTTCGAGCAAGTTCCTCTGAGGAAGCTTCTCTGAGCAAGTTGTCAGAGCAGGTTTCTTCGAGCAAGTTCTCTGAGCAAGTTTCTCTTTGAGCAAGTTGTCGGAGCAGGTTTCTCCGAACAAGTTCTGTGCACCATGGTGCAAAAGGAGCGTCAATGCACGTGCGCCGTCCGAGGGCGGAGCTGTCCAGTTTTCAACATTTCCAGACCTTGTGGCGCGCTTCTAAAACACATGCACGCACACGCACACGCACATGCGCACACACACACACACACGCACACACACGCACACACACACACACACACCCACCCACCCACCCACCCACCCACGCGCGCACGCACGCACGCACGCACGCACGCACGCACGCACGCACGCACGCACACACACACACACCCACACCCACACCCACACCAACACCAACACCCACACCCACACCCACACCCACACCCACACGCAGCACGCACGCACACACGCACGCACGCACGCACGCACGCCCGCACGCCCGCCTGCCCGCCCGCGTGCGCGCGC